GATGTTTCATGGTACTGAAAACCTCATGTTCTGAATTAGTACTGGCTTGCAGGTGTGAAGAGCTACACTGTTGAACTGTGTTTAATGGTGAAAAAGGAGAGCTGGAGGAGCAAGTTAAACAAAATATCAACAGATCATTGCTAGTTGGTGGCTGGAAGAAGCAAGCAAGAATCTCAGGCAGAAATCCACTGGTGTGTTTCTCTGCTGCAGTGAGGGCCTCTTAGTAAAGACTGCAGCAAATAAAATGCGTGAGTGAACTGGAAGGTCTGGATCTTAATTCTGATGCTAACAGAATCTAAGAGTCAGGAACAGAGCTGTGTGAGCTGGAAGGAGTACAGAGATGCTGTCCATGCAGGGGTGTGGTTAGAAAAGCTGCAGCCCATGTTGGGTTGAATCTGGTGAGGGACAAGAGGAAATGTTTCTACTGGTGTGTCAGGAAAATGATGACGAGAGAAAATTTGAGCCTGCAGAGGATTTGGAATTGGCACCTAATCTTAATGGACATGAAAGAGACCTTCTCTGCCTTGTTATTCACTGGTAAGACTGGCCATCAGCCACCCCAAGGCTCCTGAGATTGACAAGGTCTGTAGCAAGGAAGCCTTAGTCTCAGCAAGGAGGAACTAGGTTAAGGAACACCTTAACAGACTGGCCATGCACTTGTTTGTGGGCCCAATGCAGTGCACTGCTACGTGCTGAGAGCTGGCTGTTGTTGCAAAGCCATTCTGGATTCCTCACTTCTCAACTGCACCTTATTTGTGTTACTGCTTTTTGGCAGTAGGTACATTTGTGAGCAACTGTTATCAAGGATGAAGTACAGGAGGAGGAATTTTTATGACAAAGATCTTAGAGGATCTTTGAGGATCTTAAAGACCTCACTGAGAATTGCAGCCACTGCTACCAAGTCAGCCTGACACATTAGTGTCACAAAAACAAGCTCAAGTATCCCACTAGTTCTGGTTTTTATTGCTCTTTCTTGATTGTTTTAATAAAAATATTGAAGTGTTGTTACTTATACACATGAACAACATAATATATTGTGAGAGATGCTCCAAAAGTAATGCCTGCTGTTTTGTTATATCTGACCACAGTGTCAGAGGCAAGTGTTGATGGGACAGCAATAGAGGTTGAACTTTCCTCTCAGCATTCCATTCCATGTTGCTGTGCAGCAGATGGCAGCAGAGGGGCAGTCTGGCTAAATGGTGTCTGGGATGGCAGAGCATATGGAGCAAAGGTGTGTCACTGAACTCCTCCATGCAGAAAAAATGGCACCCACTGACATTCATCTCAGCTTGCTGGATGTTTATGGACACCAAACAATGGATGTCAGCACAGAGAGGAGGTGCATTTTAGCAGTGGTGACGTTGGGTCACCTCCACTGGTGCAGATTTTTACAAGTACAGCATGGAAACTCTTGTTCATTGTTGGCAGAAATGCATAGGTGATGGTGTTGCTTATGTTGAAAAAGTGTTTTGTAGCTGAGATTTTGCTCTCTCAAACAGTGTTACTGTGCTCTTTGTGGGGGTTGTAGTTTTTATAAAAATAAATAGGAAGCATTACTTTTGGAGCAATCTTTGTGCATGCAGCCCAAGACAATTCCTGTTCGCTCAGGGCAGCCAGGCAAGCCAAAAGATTGGAAGCTCATGGGGTAAGCTAATCCTGGAAACTTCTTCCAGGCAGGTGACAGACAAGGAAGTGGTGGGAGTCACTATAGATCTAAGAAAGAAAATCTTATCTGGATAACCTCGTAGCCTTCCATAATGAGATAAGTTGAGTGAATAAAGGGAGAGTAGGGGATGTTGCCTTTCTCTGTTTTAATAAGGCTTTTGATATTGCCTTCCGTAGTAGATGCACAAAACTCAAAGTGGGGGCAGTTCAGCAGTGATGTGCCCTGTGGGATGATAGTGTGGCAGAGCTGTTTAGTGCAAATGACCGACGTGATGGGGTAGAGCCCACCTTTAGGAAGTCTGCAAATGGCTGGAGAGACTGATGACTGTTTGCAGAGCAGGTGGCTGTGTTCCCCTCCAGATGGACCTCAGCTAGCTGGATAAATGACATGACAGAAGCCTTGTGATGTGACAAGCGCTGCAAGCAGGGCAAGTGTTATGCACCATTAGAGTCTTGTGGGTGACCAGCCAGGAGGCAGCTAATCAGATAAGATCCACATTCAGCAGCGTGCTGTTTCAGCCAGGAGTTTGATGTGCTGGGTTGCATTAGGAAGTCTGTTGTCAGCTGGTTAATGGAGGTCTGTTCCTCTGTACTCAACCCAGGTGAGACCACGTACAGAATGCTGTGTCTACTGAATGACAGAGATGTGGACATTCCACATCAGATTTGATGAGTAGACTTGAAGGTGGTAAAGGGACTGTGTTGGCAAGACTAAGATAGCTGGGTTTGTTTGCTCTGGAGAAGAGAAAGCATGGGAGAGTCCAATCCATGTGTATTAATAGCTGTTCTGGGGAGAGTGGAAAAATATTTGAGCCCATCTGTGTCTCCAGTACTCGGTGGTATTCAGTGAACAGGCAAGAGGTGCAAAGTGAATTACAGATGATTTAACTTGAACATAAGAAATGTCTTTTTTTTTTTTTTTTTTTTTTTCTTTTTTCTTTTCTTTTTTGCCATAATGGTGGTCAAACCTTGGAACAAGTTATCCGGAGCGGTTGAAAAGTCTCCATCCTTGGAGATATCCCACTCTCAACCAGACAGTCTCCTGGGCAAGTAGGTTAATGCCATTCTGAGTAGGGATAGTGAATGAGGTAGTCTATAGAGATCTCTACCAACTTCAGCCTCACTGTGCTTCCTTGCATTTCATCATTGCATGGTTAGGCTGTGTATTGAGATGCTGCCAGGCCAAGCTCTGACACCCTTGGTGTGTTTCTTGTATGGATGATGACTGCACAACAGTTGTGCAGTGTGACTTCTAAGCAGCAGGCTATCTGGGAATCTAGTAGGACGACAGCACTGTGTGAGAGGGTCCCTTTTCCAGCCTTTCACCATGCTTTTTTTGGATTGCTCCAAACTTGGCACCCTCAGAGTGTTGGAAGAATACTCCTTCATCTGCTTTACTTTATTTTTGGCACTTGGATGACTCCAAAGTTTGGGCTGGCGTTTTGTCCGTGAGGCCAAGCTCATGTGAGATGTATGCCTTGGGGGCTTGCTGAAGCACTGTCTGTTTGCCTTTAAAGGACTGCTGCTGTCTGCGTTATGAAGATGGATCAAGGAGAGGCCAAGGCAAGAGGTCATAGTGGAGGCAAAGAATATAGTCTATATGCTTGCTCAAGGCCAAGCCACACTGTTGAGTGCCAAGACAGTGCTTGCGGGGAATCTGTGCCAGTGGGATGGCTGTGCTATTCCTGGGTCAGGCAGGAAAAGGGCAGCCTAGCAGTGTGGGGCCACTGTAGTGCCTGAGCACGTGTGGGCAGGAGTTAATGAGGAGTAAGAGCAAGTGGGAAGGCTCTGGCCAAGGAGAAGAGGCAGAACTTGGGGTGAAGAGAGGCTGAGGGGCTGGAAGTCCCTTGAGTGGTGGTTTGCAGGGCTGGGCTGCCTGTCTGTTTGCTCTGGGTATTGAGTGGCTGCTGGAAGCTCCTGCAAAGTCAGTGTGTGCTGCCTGGAAGGTGTGAGGAGATCCTTGGGAAGTGCAGGGTGATGTTGTAAAGTGGGATCTTGGACTTGTAGAATGCAAGAGAGAAGCTGGGCTACTGCCAGGTGGGTTCCAAGCTAAAGCAAAAGGGCATGAAGAGCCTTGGGTGGTTTTGGCTATTTGCTCTACAGTTTTCTGAAGTGCATTATGGAAGGAGATCTTCAAAGGCCTTCGTCTGTTTCTGAAACTTCTATTGAATTGCTTGCTGGCCTCTGTGAGCTGTTGATTACAGAAAGTGGAAATTGCTGTCAGTCTTTTTATGATTGTGGGTGGACTTGGACCTCAGTGACTGTTTCTACTCCTGTCCCTTTCCTGCCCCAAACAGGTGACTTGCCATGCTGTTGCTTGCCCTGAGACCATGCAAATTGCTCAACTTGTAGCCCGACAGAGCAGTTTGAAGAAGAAAACAGGAAAGCAGGTGAACTGCCGGATGAGGCTGAAGAATACATCTCCAGTCACACCAATAGGTAAGCCTCAGGCAGCTGCGAAAGACCTGCTTTTACTGAAGACTCATGCATATTTAAAAGCAAAAGTCCTTGCCTTAAGTTTTCCCGCTGAAGGCAGTGAGATGTGTGTTTTCTGGAAGGTTCCAAGTAATGGGATGTGATGCTGGCAACAGGGTATCAGTGCTTGCAAGCCACTGTCTGTTAGAGAGGCTTTCTTTAGCACACTCTTGAAACAAAAATGCTCTGGAAAGACACTTGCCTTTGTTTCCAGTTGGCTGTGCTTTTGTGGGAGAAATGTTGAAGATATGTGTGAGTAGAGTGGTGGTGAGCCTGCTTGATTGTAAGGGGTAAGCTAGCCCTTGGTGGGGTGGCAGAGGTGAGGGTGAGGAGCAGCCCGGGCAGCATCAGCTGCAAATGTCTCTGCAGTTCCTGCTGCAGGTGCCCTGGTACCCCCAAAGCAGCTGCTGCACAGGTTTGCCTGGTGATGAGCTGAAGAAATCCAGCTCCAGTGTTCAGCTTTGGACAGCTGACCCAAAGTTGGTGAGTTCAGGAACTCTGGTTCTGCTTGCCCTGCGGTGCAACCTGTTTGTATGCCTTAGCTGTTGCCTGTAAGGAGAGCTTGCGTGAGGCAGAGGAGAGCATTACTGATGGCCACGTCTGGAAACTCTTTAGGAAAGCCGGAAGGAACTTTGCGGCAGCCCAGGTCACTGAGCACACTGGAAGAAGGCAGCAAGAAGCCCACCCCTCGTGTGCCAAGAGGCAGAGGTACACTATGCATCACAACAAATCCTACCGTGGAGAGTGCCTGGTCTGCCCCAGCTGCAGCCACTGGGAGTGGGTTGCCCAGAGAGATCCCCATGCAAAGACATGTCACACTTGTCAACAGGTCAGTGCATGCAGTGGGAGATGTGGGGAAGCGAGATGGTGCTTGGATGCTTTTTTGTCCAAGGATTTTCTGGGCTGTGGGAATATGGGAATCAGAGAGGGTTTGTGTGCAGGGGATGCTGATGCTGAGTGCTGATGATTGTTTCTCTGCCCTCTGCCTACCTCAGCCCTTGCAGCGTTAGCATTTCTGTGCTTTTTGTGGTGCACACGAAGCCAGCAGCTGCCCGGATGTGTTGGGCCAAGCTGGGATGAGACTGGAGGTGCCGTTTTGCTGGGTTAGCATTCTGCTGCTTTTCAGCCCTTGTGTTTGAGCATCTCTAATCCAGGCGGCTTATGGAGCTGCTGGGCCATCATTTCTCTTTGCGGGGTGTTTACCTCTGCCCCGGGCTGTCAGCTGACAGTGCAGGGTGAGTGTGTGTTGCCATTCACAGTGGCTCTGCTCAGCCTCAGCCACACTGCTGCAATGCCATGTGGGGCACGGGGCTGTCAGCATCAGCTAAGCACTGGCCAAGTGCAGCTGCGATGGACCGCTTGAACGCTCAAGGCTATGAGTAGTGTAGCACAGAGCAGTGCCCTCATACCCTCCTTGTTCCCTGGGAGGGGGATGCAGGCCTGTTGCTGTGGGGCAAATGTATGTGACAGCACCCCACCTCTCCTCAGAGCAGTTCTGTAGTGATTTTTGTGACCAGGGCTTCAGGCGTTTGCTGCTGCTTGGTCGTGGGTGAAAGGGAACTGACTGTTTTTTTCTCCTTCCTACTCTATCATGTGGGAGAGATGCTAAGGGTAGCTGTGATTCTGGCAGGTTGCTTCCTGCTACCCTCCCAGGCCACCTTGCAAGTGCTGTGGTGGGGTATATATAACAGCAGTCACTTATCAATCTAAGTCCACGCCACTGGGCTGCTGTGGACCTGCAAGTCCACAGAATGAGCAGGACTTCGCTTGTAAATCATACTGTAGGAGACACTGAAGTTGGAAAACAGTGGCACAAATGAAAGCAGATGGAGGTACTTGGTGTCCCCCTTGCCTCAATCAGCAGTCAGTGTTTGCTGGTGGCTGCCAACCAGCCCCACTCCTGGGATTGGTCTTTGGCCCTTGGACAGTGCGGAGTAGGACGGCGTGGGCCTTATCAAGGTAAGGGGCTTAGGCATGGAAAAGCATGCATTCCCTCCTCTCTGAAGAAATGTGCCTCTGAAGAAGCCTGCCTTTCAACTATGCATGGGTGCTTGGCAGGGCAGCATGTCTAATCACATGTTTGTATTGGGCTGCTGTCTTCTCTTACTGGTAGCATGGCTGGGAGGCCTCTTGCTGGGAGTACTTTTCAACAACTAGAGTGCATGAGGTCTTGCAAACGGTTGAGTTTTCTGTATCTGCATGCTGGAAAGTAGCATGTTGGCCTTGTGACTGTCTAGCTCTGTGCCAGGCAGGCTTGGTTCTGGACTGTCCTGCATTTCTTTGCACAGAGAACTGAATCCTTAGCTGCAGTGCCCGATAGTTATCCCTGCGCTCGGGTCATCCGTGTCACCTGAAGTGTAGCAGTGATGTGATACTAGGACTGGAACACAACTGATTTCTGTTGCGAGGCAGCAGTCTCACTTACCCAAAGTCTCTGTTGCTTGTGTGACTAGGTCATGGGACTGTTTTCTCAGGCACCTGTCCAGTTTGGAGTTGTCATTGCTGGTGAATAAATGTGTGGAGAGGTGGTTGAAGGAGGGAGGGATCCTGGCTTTCTTTTGGACCAGGCACAGACACCTTGGAAGGAGACACTGCTGCTGGTCTGTGTGAGGGTGTGGGCTGTGGCACACAAGAGGATGTCCCCTATTTTTTTGTTCTTATGTTGCAGACAAAATTGAAGACACTCTTCAATTGAGGGCACTCTTCAGATAAGAAGAGTTATGTATGACTGTCTGTCTGGGTTTTATGTGGGTGATCTCTACTTTAGTATTTTTAAGTCTTATCCCACTTTTCTTTCACAAATGTGCTCTTCTTTGAGCTGGTGGTCTGTCCTCTTCTGCTATGGAAAATGCTGCACTTGACAGTGGCTATCCTGACTACGAATACTGTAGGACTTGACCCTGAACAGAAGTGTTATTTTTGGTTAAAGTGACATCCTTTATATCGTGGAGGAGCAGGTTTGTTATTTCGTGAGGACAGAAAGAAAGTGAAAGGTACCAGATTTAGTTAGATCTTGAAGAGGCAGTATTGATAGTGTGTTGGTGGTTCGGCTAGATGATCCCAGTGGTCTTTTCCAACCTGAGTGATTATATGATTAGAAAGGTGTGAATGTGAGAGACCTTCTGCTTTGTGATTGTGCTGAGTAAAGTTCAGCTTGAAGACACGCGAGATCACCTAAGAATTCCATGCTAGCACTGGCATCATCTTGCTGTTGTTGCTAACTTCAGCATAGTACTTGATACCTGTACTGTCTTCAAAGATCCCGGATGGAGCTCAGAATCCTGTGATGTTTCTGTGGCTGTTGATTTCCTCCGGAGTGGACTCTACAGGTGGCTGTTGTCCTCATGTGCCCTCTGGAAAGGGGCCACCTGCAGAGCCTGCTTAGTGCATGTACAGCGGATGCTCTTGCCTGAAGCTTCCTGGGATTTGGAGCAATTTGCCATGCTTCTGTGGAGAGCTGTTTTAATGCATCTTCTGCTACGATTGCTCCACTGCAGTTCTTCCTTGCATAAATGCCTTTGGAAGGTGCTTGGTTTTGGTCTTTGAACTCTTTTTCTGAAGCTCTTGCACCTTTTTGCTTGCAACATAAGTGACACAGTACATGCTGTTGTGGTCTCTCTGGTGTCAGGGCTTTGAGGAGACATGGCAGTCAAGAAGTTGGACATGTTCATATTCACCAGCAAGACTGAGACACTGGCCAAAAGAAGGACCAAGTCGTGAGGCTGAATATATCAACATTATGACTGAGCTTAATCTGTGCTATTGGGCCTATGTGATCTGTTTTTGTGAATGTCTTCCTACTGAGTGTTTTGTTTCTCTCAGTGATCATGATAGTTAAGTCATACTAGAAACCATCCGTCGATTTGCCTTGCTGTTGCTAGACAAGGTGTCTTCCTTGTCAGGACAACAGGAGTTTGCTCTTACGTAGAGAATCAGTTAGAAGTTTGTGGAATACATACTATTTCATTTGTATGATTCATAAGCAAGTAGAGTGCTCTTGAGAGCCAGGACAGTAATTTAAAGGAATTTTCTTTTCAATTTTAGATCTGAGAAGAGACCAACTGTCTCACCATGGTTTCAGAAGGAGCTGCACGTTCACCTGTCCAGAAGGTCTTCTGTTGATTCAAATGGTGAGTTTCCCCATTAAGAGATGTTTTCTTGTTCACATTGCTGGCATTAGAATGGGTGTATTCCTAAGGAAAGCCTGTCTTGTTACTTGTTTTGAATGAAGATAGATTTGAGTAAAGTACCAAGTTCCATGAGTAAACCTCTCACTTTGATTTCATGGTGCTGGGAAAATAGGTGTCCTTATTTGTCTGCCTTCTTGTTTCTGGGGAAGATCACTGTGTAGTAAATGTCAAAGCCAGTCACATAGGAGTGCCAGGGTATGGATGTAATAGTGGAGGGTGAAATCCTGGCTTTTGGGAGTGAACAGCCACATGAAGCACATTACCCTAGCTGTTCAGAACAGCTTCTGCCTGCCTGAATCCCAGCATTTGTGTTGTTGATCTGCTTATCAAATGATAATTGCTTTCTTTGAGACTCACCAGGTTGATTTGTGAAGCTACAGGTCTAGTAGCAAGTGCCTTCCTCCCCAAGAGAAGAGGTGCAGGGAATGAGGGAGCAAGAAAGCTGGTAATGCGAGCCTCCAGCTGGACGTAATGACTTCCCTTCTCCAATAGATGGTGCACGAAGCCACACAAAGTAGCTGGACATTCACAGACTCTCAGAATTGTAAGGGATGGAAGGGATGTCCAGCGATCATCAGGAGTGTGTGGATTCAGACTTTTACTTGGGATGTATCTTAGAATGAAAAGTGAATCTTTGGTCTATTTTGTATATCTCTTTGTTTGGATGAATGTACTTAGGTGTTTTGTTTTATCTTTGCCTGTGTACTTGAGGAAAAAAAAACTGTGTCTGTCTTGGGAGATAGCCTCGTTGTTGCTGAGGGGCTGCACTATTGCCAGAGATTTTGCATCCCCTTTCAGAATCCTTTCTGAGAGAAGGTTCATTACCTGCCTATGGAAAGAACTGCAAGAATTGAAAATTTTATTTCAACTGTGTCTGATTGTGTGAGGCTTTCACGTGTCCTTCCAATGGAAAGTGACTTGAAGCAGTTGTACAAGAGAGTAGTGTGCCAGAATTGGAGTTACACTGGCAATTCCCATGACTAATTTTTAAGTAGGCAGGTTAAAATCTGTCTCTACTGAGAAGACTGTTTATTTGAAGGCTCTATTTTTGTTTAACAGATAACGTGAGTACATCTGGTGTGGAGACACATACCGTTGCCTCTGGCCGCTCTGTTCCTAACGTCAGTGAAATTCAAAACCGCATTAAGGAGATTTTGAGCAAGTACAGAAATGGTGTTTGGATGTCGAAGATAGCACAGATTTATGAGGAAACATACAGGGAAGAGCTTGGTACAACAGTGCTCCATCAGCTTGAGCACTGGCCTCATGTGTGCACTGTAAGTACTGAATATCTTTTTTTTTTTTTTTTTGAAGGATGCCCACACCCTTCAGATTTGAGTGCTCATTTGCCAAGTGTTATTTTTAATACGTAGCAGTTAAAAAAAAAATCAATGTCTTAGAAACAACACTTAAAAAAAAAAAAAATCACTATGGGGCACTGGTATCAGGCTGAGCCCCCACTTACAGGTTGTCTCACCACAAGTTAAGATTCTTCAGTCACTGTGCTTTTGTCTTTTCCTCTGCACGGATGGTTCCCTTTAAGGTAGAATGCTACTTTGCATCAAGGCTTTCTTTCTTGAAAAGCTTTACTTTAACATGTCAGTCCTATCAGTAAATGCTTCCTACTTCAACATCAAACCAAGACACGGGGAGGATATTAATGAGAATCTTGTCTGCTTGAGGTGACTTTTCATTCTATACTGCAAAGTATTTTATATGAAATGCAAAGTAAGGGTTCTACTGATCCTGAATACTTGCTTTTCAGGAGTAACAGTATTTGCATGCTATTAGGGCATTCTAATATGCACAAAATTTGTCACGTCTTATTACAGACATCAGTAACTTATTGTAAACAGCAGTGGTTTGTTTTGATGGTTGATAACACTTCCTGTGTTACCTGTAGAGCAGACTGCTGTGAGTTGCTTAATTCATGCAGCAAATTTTAATCTTATCAAGATAACATTCCAGACAGAACGTTACTGTTTGCCTGGGATCTTCTCTTTTTTGTATGCTTTCCATTTGCTTGTTATCTGCTGAGTTTATCTCTTCTTTTTTTTTTTCTAGCAAACAGATACATTCGTTTTAATGTAAGTAAGCAGTCATTAAGTCTGTGAAAATGCTCTCATATAGCATGCTCAGTCCAACAGAAGTCTTAACTATGAACTCGCCTTGGCACAGTCTTATTGTAGGAGACAATAAGTTAATGAACCTGTGGAGTCTGCCTCAGTTGACTTATGTAAAAAGTATACCTGTGGCCTTGGCACGGGGAAGATTGAATTAGGGACTTAATAGAAGGCTACTGCAAATCTCTTCAAGCAGTGTTAATTGCAGGTTCAAACAAGCCCTCTGCGTAGAGCAGCTCTGAAAGGACACAGAATGGTGTTGTTAAAGAAGATGCCATTACTAATTTCTCAATTACTTCTGCCTCTTGATACTTTACATTGCGAGCTTCTGCCTGCTTCGGAACAGGAAAATCCCTGGTGTATCTCTCTGCACCCTGTTAAAGAGACAGCACACATACTCTTATTGAATGTATACTGATCAGTAGTAGCTTAGTTACAAACCATGAAGCAATGAACTCTGTAGTATGGTTTCAGTGTCACCAAACTGAAGATTTGAGGTTTCTGCCCTGGACAGTGTCATTTCTCAGTAATTCACATCTCTAAATTTTTCTCTATGACAAAGTAATTTCATTTTGTTTTTCCTTTCAGAGAAACAGTCATTTCTGTCTCTAGGTTTCAGTCAGGAACAGTGGAAGAACTTTGCATGAAATGAGCTGAAGTCTCTAGAAATCACTGTACATTAGAGGCTTTTTAATAGCCTTGCTTTCAGTGTTCTCCTTTCAGTCAGGGGGACCAACAGCAGAAGATTAGATTGTTTGTGTTCTCCATTGGCATTTTACTTACCCTCTTTAGGTCAGTTTACTCGAGCATCTTGCTTGCAGTATCACAGTTTGCACTACTAAACTGAAAAGTGCAAAGTTTTTGTTTACTGTCTATCACTTACAGATAATAGCCAAGCTTTAGTGAGCAGTTAGGCTGGGGCAAAGCATCCTCAAGCAGTTTTTGCTGATCAGGCAGACCTCCATCAGGAAGAGAAAGGTCTGTTTCAATAGTTCTGTTAGTAGGATCTTCAGTTTTGCTGAACTGTCTGCTCCCCTGAGTGCAAAACCTTATCTCTGGTGCTGGTCAGGTTCCAAAGGCTGACTTGTTAGAGATGCATGAGGAAAAATGGACTCGTGGGGTTTTGTTTGTTTTGAAGCAGTTTTCATTACAAGTTGTTTATCATTGCAAACAGGAAGTAGAATTGTAGAATGATCTGGGTTGGAAGGGACCTTTAAGATCACCTAGTTCCAACGCCTCTGCTATAGGCAGGGGCACCTCCCACAAGACCAAGTTGCTCACAGCTCCATCCAGCCTGGCTTTGAACATCTCCAGTGTGGGGATATATGCGTCTTCTCTGGGCAACCTGTTCCAGTGTCTCACCACTCTCGCAGTAAAGAATTTCTTCCTAGTGTTGAGACTGAACTGACCCTCTTCCAGCTTGAATCAATTTCTCCTTGTCCCGTCACTACCTGCCCTTATTAAAAGTTCCTCCCCAGCTTTCCTCTGCAGGTACTGGAAGGTCCCTTCTCTTCTCCAGGCTGAAGAAGCCCAGTTCTCTCAGCCTGTCCCTGTAAGGGAGATGCTCCAGTCCTCTGATCATCTTTGTGGTCCTTCTCTGGACCTGCTCCAACAGCTCCATGTCCTTCTCTTGTGTTGGGGACCCCAGAACTGGACACCTCCAGATGGGACGTCACAAGAACAAAGTAGAAGGGCAGAATCACCTTTGTGGACTGCTGGTTGCATCTCTCTTTTTGCAACTCAAGGTATGGTTGGCCTTCTGGGCAGCAAGTGCACCTTTCTGGCTCATGTTGAATCTCTCATCAATTGACACCCCAAATCCTTATCAGGGCTGCTTTCAAGCCATTCTCTGCCCACCCTGTATCTGTGCTTGAGATTGCCTTGACCCAGATGCAGGACCTTGCTCTTGTGCTTGTTGAACTGCACGAGGATGGCATGGGTCCACCTCTCAAGTCTGTCCAGGTCTCTCTGGATGGCATCCCTTCCCTCCAGCATGTCACTGCATCACTCAGCTTGGCATTGTCTAAACGTGCTGAAGGTGCGTTTGATCCCACTGTTCGTGTTGCCTACAGAGATGTTAAATAGCATCTGTCCCAGCACTGATTCCTGGCAAAAGCTACTCATCACCAGTCTCCCCTTGGGCATTGAGCCATTGATTGCAACTCTCTGCGTGCAGCTGTCCAGCCAATTCCTTACCTAGCAAGTGGTCCATCCATCAAATCCATTTTTCTCCAATTTGGTGACCAGCATGTCACGTGGGACAGTGTCACATGCTTTGCACAAGTCCTGGTAGATGACGTTGGTTGCTCTTCCTTTATCCACTGATGCTGTGACTCCATTGGTAGATGGCATATGTTCCCAGGGAGGATACTTCATTGGTTTTTTTGCCTTTTTTTTTTTTCTTGTAACTATTCTTACTCCTTCAGCACTTTGAAGAAGTTGTGACAGTTCACAGAAAGCAAAACTGAAGACTCAGGAAGATGACAGGATCAGCTGGTAAACAGTCCCACAAACCAGAATAGAACTGCTTTTTTTTCCGAAATCTGTTTCTGGTCAGCATCCTCCCTCTTTGTTAACCTGATCCCACTGCATCTGGCAGACGAGTTTTTTCGATACAGTTCAGAATGAATTGTGTCACATCAGAGAAGATGAGTATTGCCATAGTAGCCAGTTGTACTCTTTGAGCAACTTTGCTTGTGTAAGGTTTTCAGTCTTGAAGTGTTCTTCACAGCACAGTTCAGTTGTGATGCAAAAATCATTCTACACAGAGTGATGGACTTGAGTTAGTAAAAAAAAAAAAAATCATGTCTGATTACTTACATGTTTAATACATGTGTACACACATGACATAGTGTATGCTTAAGAACTGGAAAGTGCTTTGCAGATGAAGGGGACAGATCTATTGGTAATGGCTGGTAATGTGTGTGTATGTCTGAAAGCTGGCACAGTTCACACTGGCCCTGCAAACTGTCTCCTGAAGATGTGTTCTCACATCATGATAGCTAACTTTCTCTTGCTCTGCTTATTGAAGAAATCTGCTCTGGGTGACCCGTAGTTGAGCAGGGGCTGGACTAGGAGACATCCAGATGTCCCAGCCTCAGCTATTCTGGAACTGTGATGAGTTATTTTATCTAAACGCTGTGATGGTTCTGATCAGTATATTTTAGAGCAGTCTTTGAAAACCTGTTACAGCAAGGATAACAGAACCAGATTTTCCTGTTTGTCACAAAATTGTTTTTTAACTGGCCTCTGCTGTGCGTTTCATTTCCCTGTCTTGCGGAAAAATAACAGAATATGGCTGTATGTGCCAGCTGTGAGTGGAGTCTTCAAAAAAAAATAGTCACTGAAAGACTCATTTCAAGTTGTGTTCTCCATTTCCTTGGTGGAAAGTGTCTTCATGCTCTAGGGAGGCTGCTAGTGTGCCTGGTCTTTCATCCTCAGTGTGCACAGTAAGTAAAATGCAAGTCATTCTGATTCTTTTGATGTGTGTGTATACATGTAGTGGTTTAGCTGCACACTTTACAAAGCCTTTGTCCTAGCAACACACAAGTTTTTCTTCATCTCTCTGTATGTGTATATGAGAAAGAACAGGCTTCATTTTTCTTCTCTGTTCTACTTGTTTTACTCAGTTGCAGTGTCAGTATTTCATTTGGGGGCTTTCAAATTTTGTTACATTATTTCAGACTCCAGATTTTCCTTTTTGGGAGCTCCCTTGGGCCTAGTACAAACACATTCTTCTTTGCTGCATGATTCAAACTTTTGCTCTTGGTAATGTTCTGGCATCTGCTGATGGTCTCTTGTAATCACTCTAATTGAGAAGCAGCAGCAAGCACAGTGTGCTTGCTAAGCAGGCCTGCTAGCCATATGGGAGGGACCTTATAGGTGTGTCTATAGACTCTTCTGGATATAACATTGAGATATTGGTCGTAAAGTGGCTGATTGGAATTTGCTCTCGGTAACCTTTTTGCTTGTTATTATGGATGCCAAGCACTGCAGCAGCTTGTAGTTATGAGTGGAGGAATCTGTTGCTTCTTGAATATCATCTTCTGTGCAAGAAATCACTGACTAATGCTGTCCACTTAAACTAAATTGCACTGAATTAAAGTGAAACATCTTATTGAAATAGGGACGTTTTCCTGCCTATAAATATTGTCTCAGTCAGCATCTGTGCTGCCTTCTAAACCGGGAACCTCAGAGCTATTGTTGGAGTTAAGAGGCTTAAAGGTCTCTAGGGATCTTCTCTTTTTGGTCTGCTGCCAGTCTTTAGCCTGTAAGGTTTAATAGTCCGTCAGGTATCATTCTGCCTCTGTGGAACACCAGCTAAGCAGAGCTAGCCAGGAGACACAGTGCGTAAAGGTAGTTTTGTGCTTCCAATTTCATTCGGGATGATCTGCAGCACGTTGCAGCACATCTCTTGTGTACAGACTGTTGTTTTGGTGTGCAGAGGCTGCAGGCAGGGCTGCCCTCTATAAGCAGAGCCCAGCACTTTCCTGTGTCAGGGCTGAGCAGCTCCAGAAGGGACCCGCTGCTGCCAGAGCTGGGCGGTGAGAAGTGCTGGCTGCGCTCTGGATGAGGAAAAGGGAAACTGCTGTGCAGTGGCAGCTGGGGGAGGGGGTGACCATGCTGGAGTGGTGCTTGGGGAGCTGCAGCCTCTGGGAAGCCTAATGTGGGATCAGCTGGGGAAGGATGGCATCCGTGTGGAGCAGGGACAGCGCGTGACCATGGAGGAGCAGGAGAGACAAAGCACTGTGGGCTAAGTCTCCCTGTGCTGAGTCTTTTTTTTTCCACAATGGCGATGGGTGAGAAGTCTCCCTATGCTTATCTTTACTCTTGATCCCTTTTCTGTCATGTTCTCTCCCACTTTCCCTTTGAAGAAGAAGAGTGAGAATGGTGTAGAGGAGTTTAGCTGCCTGCCGTTGTGAAAACACGCCTCAAAGAGGTGATGAGAAAAGCTTTTCGTCAAACTAAGGAAGAGAAAGCAAAGGGGAGAGAAAACAGAGCTAGACTTTGCTTGGTGAGGCGCAGTGACAGGACAAGGAGCAGAAATGCTGCAGCTCAGAACATTCACAAGAGTTTGGAAGAACCCTTTTTTCGGAAATGGAAGCCTAATGAAATTCTGCGCTCCCTACTCTCCAGGACCTTCTCAGCTAAAATGCAGGAGGCTCTGGGTGACCGAAGCGACTGGCCCTGCTTTGAGCAAGCAGTTGTATTGTATGGCCACCAGGGGTCCCTTTTGCTCTAAAGTTGCCTTCTTAGTCGCTGCCGGTCTCCTGCATTTTGCGAGCCGTACTTTGCACTGCACCCACTGCTACTTCTCAGCAGTGATATTGCTTGTCTGTGTAGCTGTACTCCGTTCTGGAGTAACTCTTCGTGGAGGAAAAAACTTGATTTGTGCACGGGTAAAATGCTGTGCTTGTTGAGGGGATTTTGTAATTGCTGAGGGAGTTTAAAGTGATTTGAAAATACTGATGCGCTGCCTGCAGCCCTTTCTAGCCTAATTTCATTGGGTTGTTCTTTTGTTTTTGTTTTTTTTAAAAAGGACTTTTGGAGTCTCCCCTTAGATTCCACTTAGATCTTGCTCTGTTGCATCTTCAGGCCTTAATCTGTCTTGATTCATATGGGGGTGAGTGTCTTTACTGTAGCTAGATCAAAGGCTAGACCTAAGGTTTTATTTTTAAATAGTCTGTACTTATAATCTGAACTTTCTTTTCCTTTGATGTTTGTTGGTCAGATAACTAGAACTTTCTAGATTATGGTATTCTATCCGTTTTATTTTTTTCCTCTCTATAAAACCAACAGTTTTAATAGTAATTTAAGAAGTAATAGTCAGATAAGCATCTCCTGGAGTTTACCCTCTAACTTAAACTGGGAATAGCAATTTAACTTGTAGCAACATGTTGTAGGCATGGAAGCCTTTGATTGTCTTGTTCAGTTTTTGAGATACATCTTTGATTCTGGGACCTTTTCTCTCTCCATCTCTCCCTCCCTCCCTCTCATAAGATTCCACTTTGGCTTAAAATGCAGTGATGTAAATTTTTTCACTTCCATAGTTTTTTAAATTAAAAAAAAAAAAATCAGTTTTAAATCCAGAGCAGAGGACAGGCTCCTCAGTATTACTGTGTTCTAGAATAAACAAATTAAGTTTAAGATCTCTTGCAGGGCCGATGATCTCATGAAGTTTAGCATGGAGCCAAAAGAAAAGGAAATGCTTAGTTACACTAAAGTTACTTTAGTTAAAGTATTTAGAGAAGGCGAAGAGAAAGTATGTTGTCAGCTTTCCAAAGCATAAAGGGGCTATAAGGAGAAAATGAAATCAAATGCAGAATGAAATGTCAAAAAATCAACCAGCATAGATTGCTGTGAGGAAAGTTCTGTTTGTCTGTGGTGAAAAATTCTTCAGCGTGTGAAGAGTTGATGGTCTCTATCTTTGGAAACCTGAATTTCATTGATCAAGGACAGGAGCAATTTGATTTGCGTTTGGTGTCACCTCAGCTTTTGTAGATCTCCAAAATTCTGTGCAATTTTCTCGTGTTGTTAGGCAATGATGAAATGTGGAGTTGGTTTCACTTCTTTTGTCCTTTCTGTTATATATCTTGTTTTGTTTTCTGCTTTTATCAAGGTAAATAGCAGAGATGCTTAAGGACTTGATGCAGGTTCCACAGGTTTGAAGTACTCGATATAATTTTTGTACACTCTTACCTTATAGCAGATACATACTTTTCAGTATATGGATGTCTGGAGGACACTACCTTTTTCCTCCGTCCTATTAAGAGTAATTTTGTGTGTCTCCTTGGCTTAGTCAGCCTTCTTGAAAAGATTCAGGCCCAAAAATTTGTGGATTCAGCACGGATTCCTGAAGCTGAGGATTCATGGATATGTTCATTTGCCTTCTTATGTTGTCTTCTTGCTGAGCTTCTTGCTGGAAGTATTACTGCTCTGGTTTTCACTGATAAAGAACGGTAGAGATGTGCTGCCTTGAGTGCACAAGACTGCTAAAACATTCACAGTGTCATGCTTAATTTTTTTTTGTGAGTGAAATCTTCTGCCGCTTTTGGATATGATTTGTTCTTGTGTATAGAAGACCTGTCTCTAAGATCTGTGTAACAGCTTGCTTTTGCACTGGTCTGGAAGATGCAGTGCACAGAAAGTATAACTGTACAAGAGCACTTCATATGGTTTAACACATCAGGCAGCTGAGCACAGCAGAGCCATTTGCTCACCCCTTGCTGTACAGAGGTAAAGGGGGCAGAACTGAGGGGGTGGGGAGGGGTGGGAGGAAGAATACTAAGAATACTATTCTTGGGTTTAGATAAGGTGCATGGTTCTTTTCACAGTAATCATCATCTTTGTCATTTTTTCCGGTGTATTGGAGCTGAATTCTTGTCTCTGTTGATAAAGAGAGACAAACACAGTTCTTGTTGTGTAAGCTAAAGCTTCTCAGACGCTCTGTTATGCTCACAGTCGTGTGTTTCCAAGACAAAACAGCAAAAAGTTATTTTTGCGAGGCTTATGAAGTTCTGTTGGTGTTGATACCACAATAAAGGCAAATATTAGGCCTGAAGAGTAGCAGATAATCTAGCTGCTCAACTTGTTTATTGTAGGAGTTCCTTTTGTTTCAGGACCAACATGAAAACAACTGATAGCTTTTTATCGCCTCATTTTTACATTCTAAGTTAGGTTGTCTTGGTTGAAGCTGTGTAGCTATTGTGAGTTTGTTTCTGTGGTTTTCAAGGTTGTGGCTTGGACTGTGAGATACTCATTACTGAAACAGAGTGGAGACGTGGACTTGTGAAACATCTGGATCTGAAGGGAGGTTGAGGGCATGGTACAAAGTGGCTTAATCAAATTTAATATGAAACTTATTACAATCCAGAAATTTTCTCCTTAATTTCATAACTCATTAAAGAAAATGCTTTTCCCTGAATGCAATACAAGACTGCTTTTACGGTGCTACAGGACAGTATCTGAAATACACAATCAAATCTTCTTTCCCTTAGTGGACTGAAATGGAAATTTTGGTTGTAATATGCTTATCTGTGTGGAAGAGATCAGGAAGGGAGGTTAATGTGCAAAACATTTAAGTTTGTGGAGTGTGCCATCATCATCTGCTCCTTGGGGAAAAAAAGGAAATCTGTGCACAGTCAGGACTTTTTTCCACCTAAGTAGATCTCGTATTTCTTCTCTACTATAGCGATGTATACTTGGTATTCCCCCCAAACTGGAGAAGGAAGCATTGCAAGAAATTATTTGACTGTACTAACTGCCTTAAGCTTAGCTCCTTGCAGATGCTCACTTCCAAGTCTGTATAAAATGCACGTCATACAAACGTAATTGTCAAAATGCTCTAGGCTTAAAGATGCAGCTTATCATTAACTCTTCTTTTTGTTTCCCAAGGTGGAGAAAGTATGCACAGGTGATCAGACATATGGAATTCTTTATCCTACTAAAAGAATACCACCAGCAGTGAAAAGCAATACAGAGCAAGACAAGGCACCTCAGAATGTTACGGCTTCAAAAGTAGGCCCACTGTTGAAGACAAGCGTGGAGGCTGAGTCTGCTTCATGTAGTAGTGACTTCAAGCAAGATGTTGTTAATATCTTGGTGAAATATCCCAGTGGTCTCTGGGCTGATGCACTTCCCAAATTGTACCAAGACACTTACCAACGAAAATTTCCAGAAGGCATTCTAAATAATCTGCAGTTGCTCTCAGATATATGTGTAGTGGACTTTGTATCTAATGCCCCTCAAAAGGCCATCCTCTATGTGAAAACCCAAAGCTGCACTGATGAGAATCTGAATGTCGCTGAGAAAATCCAGATCCCTGATGGTGTGAAGGCCACAGCTGAACAACAGCACGAGGAGTCCAAGGACCAATATCCAGAAAGTGTATCATCTGTTCCTCCTTTGATTATACCATCAGAAGGACCTGTGTCCGTCTTGGTGATAGAAGCAAACAACACTAATGAACTTATCATTAGGCAAGTTTGGGGTTTTTTGTCCATATAGTGCACAGGTCTGCAGGACTTTGTTATTTATGCATGCTAACAATTAAACCTAAACTATTTTTTGTGTTGTGTTTAAACGGGGTTTTTTTAATGCTGGTGAGCTGATGGATTTTGTCATTGGCTTGACTGAGAGTCAAAGCAGGTAGGACTTGCTATTGGAGGGCTTTTTTGAAATAATCCGACTGTGACATGTGGCAGCGTTCAGGTATTACTCTAACACCTATCAAAGCATTTTTTTTACACTTATAACTAACTTGCTTCTAACTAGTTTTGAGTTGGGTTTGTTCAGATTATACTGCAGTTTTATCTTTTGGGGATGGAGGATTCCATCAAACTATTCTGGGTCCTGATTTGGTGGTTACTAGCATAGCCTCAGAGCATGGTGTAAGAAGTGGATTGTAGTTTCTGTGTCAGTATTTAAGGAAATGCTATATGGTAAGCTTTCCTTACTTCATTATCGAGATAACAAACTTTTTTTATATCTTCCTAGAACTTAAAAGATCAACTTTTTTCTGGGGGGTTTATTAATTCTGAAACTTATTTCAAATTCAGCTTCATATTAAACAGGTTTATTTGTCACTTCAGAACTTGAATTGCATAGCTGCCAAGTAATACAGTGCATTGGTAGCTCTGTCTCTTGCCATTAGTTTCTACAGTTCTGGCTTTCACGAGGTGGATCCTAGCCAGACCTTTGAGCACAGCTGAGCTAAGTAGGAGCACTTGTGATTTACTTACAGATCCTCTTGTTAATCATATGCCATCCATTTCCTCATTTCTGGCTGTAAATAGCACACTAGCCTTAAGGCTGAAATTTAGTCATCCTTCTTCTCTAGCTGTCATTACTTTATTGGCATGCTCAGCACTGAACTTTCTTCGTGTCAGTGTAGTTCTCTGAGGTAATAGCCATAAAGGCTGATGGTTCTGTGGAAATCCCCATACTTGAGACTTAAGTTCTTGTTGGAGAATGTTGGCCTCTTTGTTTCAGCTGCTGGCCTAGTTCCTGTAGTGCGCTTCCTCTCTGTTTTTTGTGAGCAGATGAGTGTTCTCCAGATTGTATTATTTTTCTGGTTTTGGGGGTCTTCCCCGTGACCTTTTTCAAAGGTTCTGCTTCAGAACACTGTCTTGAAATAAGAAACCTTGCAGCCTTCCAGTGCTCTCAGTTTTTTTTGTCCTAGGTGAGGGAAAGTAACTCGGTTCAGGCTGGGAGGCATTAGTTCTGTCTGTCTCAGGAATGAGAAATGTAATGAATCTCTGGTTGCAGCTGCACCCTGGCTCTGGACAGCTGCCTCAATCCTGTCATTGAATGAGCGTGGCTGTAGGGGATAAAATGGAATACTCTGCGTCCCGTGGGCTGAGCTGTGACACTGATGAGCTGATCTGCTTGTGTTAAACTTCCTCTGAAGCAGCAATTCCCGAATTTTGTACCAGAGTTTTTGTACAGTATTAAATATTAAAATTTCTGGACTTGTCACCTTTACGTGGGCATTAGCTGCTGGTGATGAGCGTCGTCCTCGGTGCAGGACGGAGTGCTGGGAGATCTGCATACTGTGTGGGCCAGGTCACAAGTAGACTTGAAGGGAAAAAAAATTTTGCCATGCCAAGAAAAAATCAATACATTTCTCTCATGTTTTTGAATGGAAAATGTCATGGTTTGCTTCACTGTGGAAACATAACACCGCCGGTTCCTTTCACAGTGAAGGACCAGGCTTTCCTTGGCATGTTATTAGTCCCAGTTCGGACTAAGAGTGATGCTGAATGCAGACTTGTCTGGCCACCTGTGTGTAACACTTTCCTGGAGGTTTTTTCCCAATATTCTTTCCTATAAATCATGAAAAATATTTTTTTCAGTTGTCTTTAGCAGCCAAAATCTTTGTCAGTAGGCTGCTTAGCTGCTACTGGAAAGTAGCAGGGCAGGAGGTTCTGCACGTTATTAAACTTTCTGCTGTAATGCTTCTCCTGTAGCTACATGTCCTGCTGAAACCAATGTCAGGAAGTAAACTTTTGAGTATTGTATACCTGCTCGTGTTGCCTGTCAAATACAGGAGTAAGTTTTCCTTCTGGCTGCTGCATCTGATCTGTTTCTGGTGTGTTCAGAATGTTATTAAGGATTCATGTGGCAGACTGCTTCAGTGCAAACTGGAGATCAGCTGCCTGATCTCGGAATTGTTCTGATGGCTGAGAGTAAACAGCATGGGGCTTGGCAGGGATCTGTAAAGCTGTATTTTAGATGCCTTGTGCTCACAGTCTACAGTGAAAACACGCTGAAGGTAGTATTTGCTAGTGACAGAGTAACTCAGGTGCTCCTGCAGTTCTTTTGTGCTTCATCCTGCATAACCTGCTCTTACTGTCAAATTCTTCTGTGTGGTTGTAATAATCAAGTAAGATTTGTTTCTAAAGATGCGTGTTAGATTCTGTGTCACTGGGCAGCATTTAGCACTGAACAATAGCTCTATTTTGTCAGCCAGTATTTTCCTGTTGCCCTGTATTTGGATACAGATGCGCGTAGAATATGTTTGGATATATCCATGATTTATTAATCTATTAATTTAGAGGATCTTGGGTTTTTATTCAGCTTTTTGACATTTCATGCTAACTCTCGTTTGTTGTTTTTGTTTGTTTGTTTGGTGCTTTTATACTGAAATGATTGTAGGTATGTGGGCAAAGATTATTCTGGCGCTCAGGAACAAATGGAAGATAAAATGAAAGCATACTATAGTAAGAACTCCAGTGCATCACAGGTTACTTGTCCAAGCGTTGGGCAACTTGTAGCTGTGCACACTGAAGAAGCCTGGCTCCGTGCTCAAATAGTTTCTGTGGAGGACAAAAGATTAAAGGCAAGTGATTCTTTGTTTTGACATTTGTAGTAAGGCTTGAAACAATTGTTTCTCCCATGTGCGGTCAGTTTTCAAGCATTCTGTGTTACTTCATTCTTTCCTTTTCCAACCTGAAGTGCTTCTGTTTTCGATTAAATGAAAAACTAAGGACATTTTAAGAGTTTATTTTAAGTTGTGTGATTGTCAAAATTAAATGGCCATCTGCAAGTTAAAATTACCACCTTTGTTCATGCAGTTTGAGGCCGTGTGCTGAGTCCTTCCAGCACTGCTCCAGTGGAGAGATTCTGTCGGAGATGATAGCTTTACAGAAACTTTGGGAAGCTTTTCTGGAAGACACTGAACATCTAAATAAGGAAATGAACATGAGATTCGTGGTGTTATACAGCAGTAACACGGTGAAAATTGATGTGCCTGTTCAGTGGATGCCCAGAACACAGTAGCTTAATACATTTTCCATAAACTCAATAACATATATTTAAAAGCTTATTATTTATTTCTTTTTCCACTGTCAGGTGTACTATGTTGACCATGGCTTCAGTGAGATTATTGAAAGCAACAGGACGTACAAACTTCACAAACAGTTCTGCTCACTTCCATTTCAAGTTGCAAAGTGTAAACTGGCAGGTAAGAGAAAACCAGTGTTGATTCTACAGACTTATGGATTGAAATGCCTGGGAGTTGTTGATGCTAATGTGTAGTTACTCTGAGTACTAGAACCCATCCAAAATAGGTAAAAAATAGTCTGTAAATAGCTATGAATAACAATCCAAGCAGATACAGGTAGGCACAGAAAGACAAGAAAGGTTCTGTAAACAAACCTTTTTGTCAGAAGACCCCAGTGTCTCTCTAATGAAGCTTAGTTGTTTCTGCACTTATCTTGGATGTATTACCTTCAGGATCTGCAAGCCTAAAGAGAGCACCCACTGTTGTATGAAATAGTGTATAAGCTTAACTGCTCCTACCACAAATGCAAATTAACATGATCTGTGATCTCATTCACCTATTTTAAAGTGATCCTTCTCCACTCAGCACTGGCAGATTTCCTTGACCCTGCTGGAAATTACTTAACTGCCTAAGACTAGTGGGCATTTCTAACTTTTTAAGAATGCTTTGTTTTGTTTTCAATATATGAAATTGACAAGAATGACCCTTAGTGTATTTTTTTTTTTTTTTACTCGGATGCATTTCTTCATTTTGTCTACACATTTGCCTTGATTCTTTGATTGTCTCTGAAGAGGATCTTCTTTTCCCCCTTGAAGACAGCTTTCTGCCCTAAGAAGGGAGGCAGGCAGTAGAATGCGAGTAGAAGTCCAGTAGGACATTCCAACTGCTTCCTGATTCTTAGAAGGATTCCTCTTTCAAACAGTCCTCATTATTATAATTTCCCTTCAATAAAATGATTCAAAAAATCGTGCTCTGCCTTACAGGGCTGGAAGTATTTTGTGATGATCCTCTCCTAGTAAAGGCTGTAGAATTGCAGACATACTGCAAAATATTTGCTGTGGAAATACTGGAAAGGAGTGATATTCCTCTCTTTGTTCTGTATGACACTTCTGGAGAAGATGATATCAACATCAATGCGACTTGTCTGAAGGCTTTGTATGACAAGTCTTTTGAACTGAACCTACAGGTACTGTCTGCCTGCTTCCTATTTAATTCATTGAAAATCACTGACCACAAAGATTTTTAACGGGCAAAAAAAAAACAGCACTCACAAATTCACAAACTGTGTATGTTTTGTTTTTTTCTTTTTTACTTATTAAAATTTTAGGTAGATACACTATATACCAATGTCAGAGTAACCAGTATTCTCTCAGATGGAAACCTGTATTGTCAGCTGCCATCTGAAGGCTTGTCTAAGCTTTCTGAAGTCTTGCAGAAGATAGAAGACTATTTTCTTCACAAGGTAGGTGTGCAGTGGAGGAGATATGTCTCATCATGTGGTCTTTTTCTGGTGTTATCAGTCCATTTCTTCTATAAAAGCTCAAGTATCTGAGGCATCTGTGTTGTCTGTTCAAAAAAGCTAAAAATTCTGTGCCATTTTCTGGGATGCAGATGTGAGAGTGTCTGTTGATGCTCTTGGAAATTCTCTCCCTGTGGCTTCGGTAACTACTACTAAATTTCTTTGAGTAGTTACAGCAGTAACAGAAGTGACCCATAATGAGAAGCTTCCTATAGAAACTGCTTTGGTTTGATTAGGGGGAAAAAAAAGTTCTGTGGAGGATCTGCCGTACTTTTTTTCCTCAAGTTTTACCTACATGATGGTGTTCAGGTGTATAAACAGCTCACAGCACACTTTGAAGTGACAGGAGAAGGATTGTCTAAGACAGAACCAAGGTCTGTGCTTTTCAGCTTGATTTTGGTCTCGTGTGCCACGTGTCTGTACACTTAGCTTTTAAATGTGGATCCTTTCAAACAGAACGGATGTATAGGAGGTGTCTTTGAAATAATGAAGTTGCTTTAAAGCAGACATATGACAGAGAAGTCTGATATCCTACATGCCCTTAGCAGACATGCAGCAAACCTTACTAGATCTGAGGGTTTATGCAAAGTGAAGAAATCTGAAGAGAATCTAATTTTTTGATATCTAGCTGAAATCATAAAATGCAGATCCTTGAAAAGTCAGGCACGGTTAGAACCACTTCTTGTAAATCCACCTTTTCAAAATGTTTTTAGGTATGTTCCTGTTGTGCACGCTCCATTTGGAAACACTTTAATATGTTTCAGTTACCAAGAGTCAGTTTAAAGCAAACTGAACAATGCAGGAAGCAGTATAAAGTGTACACTGACAGTTTTAGCAACATAAAGGCAGGCAACTAGTCAGATTTTCTAGACAGAGTGTACAGAGCCTCTCATTGCTGTCAAGGACAGAAGCCATTTTGACTCCACAACTTGTGTTGAGAACTTGATGACACTGAGATGTGTCATCAAGTGTGATTGTCCAATGGGAGTTCTTGCTTTTTATAATGTAGCATTTGACTTGTTGTCTTACTTAGGGTCATCACATCAGATATCAGTCCCATGAGGCTTTATTTGAGTAAATCTGTTTCATTAAACATCTTGGCATGTTGTATATATATAAAGTTAGGAACTTCTTCATTTAGCTATTACAGTTTCACAGCTTTTCAAAACATTAAAGTAATGGTTGCTGGTTTTTATATTCTTTGCTTCCAAACACATTTTTGCTGGCAATTCATAGAATCATTATGGTTGGAAAAGACCACTAAGATCACCAAGTCCTGCCATCAGCCATTCCCACCATGCCTGCTAAGCTGGGTCCATGAGTGCCACTTCTCCGTGTTTCTTGAGCATCTCCAGGGGTAGTAATTCTATCACTTCCCTGGGCTGTATACAGAATTAAAGCTTTACTGACGTGACAGGAAATACTTCTGAGGCTAGAAGAAAGCTTTACAATTTGAGATTAAGTGGTTGCTTTCTGTAACTGTTTGTTCTGTGAGTGGCTTTTGGAGCAGCTAGTTAAGTGCTAGTGATGGTTCTGTGCATTTTAACTTTTGGTTTCGAATTTGCAGGAGGCATCTGAGTTTAATGTGTCACAACCTTTCTGTGGGAAGATCTGCTTGTTTCATTGCAAAGGAAAATGGACACGAGTAGAGGTAAGAGGTATTCAAAGAAAGGCAGAAGTTTTCCTACACAGGAAAGACTTTCTGCTGTTCCCCTAAATCTGTCTTCTTACTTTCCTTGAATCTGCTCACAGTGTTTCATCTTCCTGTCTTATTTCAGATAACAATAATTCAAAGTAGACGGGCGCTTGGAGTTCGCTTCATGGATACTGGAACAGTAGCTTATGTAAAAGTATCAGACCTTAGAGAAATCCCATCACAGTTCCTGAGAGAAGTAATCAAAATCCCTCCCCAGGTATAAAGATGTGTTTAAGCTAACCTGCCCTAGATTTCTTGACCGTGTCTTAGTGCTGCTTCTTACAGGCTTATGTAAGGAATTTTCTTTGTTACTAGTGTTCAGCATTGGAGTGTGTTTCATTGTGCATCTCCTCACTGAAATAGGTCATGATGTAGTCCTGCGTACTGGCAGGATGCTCTGTTAATTTGTGTGAGTTATGATACTGGTTTTGCATGTTTCTGTGTGTCACACCTGAGGTCTGCTCGCAAAGTAACACATCCTGTTTCATTACCTTGGCCCGTGTTGTCAGAGGTGAATGTTGGTGGTACAACAGTTGAGGTTGAACCTCCTCACTGATATCCCAGTCCATGTTGTTGCCACGTGACAGATGGCAGCAAAGGGGCAGCCTGACAGAATGATGCCTGGTGTGGAAGTGTGGACAGTGCAAAGATGGGAAACTGAATTCCTCCACTCGGGGGTAAAGGAGTGGAACCCATTAACATTCATCAGCACTTGGTGAATGTTTAAGGAGACCAAACAGTGAACATGAGCACAGAGATGCAGTGGTGGTGTGTCACCTCTGCAGGCTGTTAGGAGTGCAACGTGATGGCTCTTGTCCATGACTGATGGTGACCATGTTGAAAAACAGTGTTTTGTAGCTGAGAGTTTACTCTGTAAAATGGTGATATTGTGCTCTTTATGTCTGTTGCCGTTTCCAAGGAAATAAATAGGAGGCATTACTTGTGGAGCAACCTACATATTGCTGAATCTATGAGTATTAAGTAGTGCTCTGTAAATAGAAATGCATGAACTAGTTTCCCTGTTGTTGTATACTTAATTCTCTTCTCAGGCTGTAAAATGCTGCTTAGCAGATCTGCCTCCTGATGCTGGCATGTGGACTCCTGAGGCTGTGCTGTGGCTGAGAGACAATGTAATGGATTATCCTGAATTCAGCATGCAGGTAAATAGTCGAAATGCCTGTGTGGCCTGAAATCCAGAGGGAGTAACTCTGAAACTTAAACATTCATCAGAATTTATCTGTTGTGATGTCTAATAGTTTCTGGCCAGCTCTTGGTTACGTTTGCTGTGTGAAGTCCTGTTCCTGTCACAGTCAGAATAAGAATAGTTGGCTCGTTAGAAGTCTTTTTCCTCCCAAGAATGTAGCAGCTGATGGCTTTTCTAGTTTTCCCGTGCCAGTCCAGTGATATGCAGTTAGTGATCTTCTCAACTGATGATAAACACAGTTTTTGTTTCATGGTAAGAAAAGACATATGTGTTCTGTCAATCTTAAATTCTTTCTGTGCCTCTTACGAGAGGATAATGTTTTCGTATTGGCCCTGGAAAGCACCTTTGCTTTGTCTGTTTGTTTTTGTAATCCAGTGTGATTTCATTATCATATACTATTTTGTTTATGGGCTTGTGTTATACTTGAGATGGTATTTTTCCATTGGCAGCGTTCAGTTAGCTAAGAACATCCTTCTGAAGGAAATATTTTTCCTATCTAGAAACTAAACAGAGCTGATTTCCTCCTAAAAATCTGAGTCCATACATTGTTGCAACAGTTTGAGAACATGTTTTGTAGCTTCCCTGTCCATTTTTGCTTCCTTTAACACAAGACCTCACAATTGAAACGTAACTCACATAGTCTGGGACTGGTGAGTGTTGCAGCTGGCTTCTCTAAATATCCTCTTCAAAGACAGTTTGTGTGGTAATATTTTTTTGCTTGTTTCAATAGTGTAAAAGAGGTGTGTGCTTAAATTTTGGAAAGCTTTTGTTCCTGTGTCCCGTTTGCTGCCTGTAAGTAGCAGTAACTGGCTCTAGTTAGTAGAGAAGGCTGGAAAAATCATCAGAAGAATCTGTAAACAAATGTTACAGGCTTTCTCAAGTTCCAGTTTCAGTGGTTATTGTCCGTGATGCTAGCTGCTGTCAGTAATGTCTGTTGCTAAGTAGGACAATATTTTTATGCTAGTGCTTGAAAACTATACACGATCCAAACGTGGAAGCTTCTTCTGTCTTCATTTCGTTCCGTACTTAATTTACTGGGTTTCATCTAGCAGAGGGACAGGAAGGGGTTTCTGAAGGACTGAGTGTTACTAGCATTACTTAGCTGTTTGGGCTCTATGGGCAGTGGCTGATGTTTTCCAGGAAACTGCAGTCGTGTGCATTTGTGTCAAACAGCAGTGAGATTGAACCTCTCGGGCAGAGCAGAACCCAACTCCAGTTTTGTCTGCTTTACATTAGCAGGATAACAGCTTTTAGCAGCTGTGGGTGGCTTAATATCCATCAATTTCATCGGTGCATTTGAGAGAACCCTGAAAATACTCCTGTGCATGTACAAAGCAACGAACCGTTTCTTTTCTGTGTGAAGATGTTGTCTTCAGATGTGAACTCAGTGGTTGTGAATTGGAAGTTAAACTGTGCCTTCTTTTTAAAGGTGGTTAAGCAGGATGGTTCAAAGGGAATCGCACACATCTACTTGTTTGCTCCGGAGGATTTCCCAAACATGGATCGTAGCATCAATCGTCGGATTGTAAATGCAGACTTGTGGAAGCATCAGAAAGATGTTTTCCTGAGCGTCACCCCCACGGGGGCCGGCTCCACCAAAGTGACAGGTGACGCAGCTCTGCAGTTAAATCAGGGCAGGCTGGAGAGGAGGGATTCTCTGGAGCCTGCAGCAGAGCCCAGAGATGCAGAGTCTGGCACTGAGATGCCACCGCCTCTACCCTTGTCAGAGGTGGGAGGGTTCATGGATGTCTATGTGTCAGTAGCCTGCCACCCAGGTCACTTCATTGTCCAGCCTTGGAAAGAGATACACAATCTGGAGGTCCTGATGGAGGAAATGATCCTGTACTACAGCATGGCAGAGGAGAGACCGGTGAACATCGCAACAAACAAGTTATATGCAGCCAAGATTGAAAATCGGTAAGCGCTTCGATTAAAAGCAAAGTCTGTGAAGGGAGGCTTTTATCTGTGCCTTAAATGTTGGTAAGTCAACATGCCTGGCTGTTTTGGAGTTAATGGCGGGATTACGAATTTCTCTTTAACTCTTGGCCTGAATGCTGTTCCTTTGGGAAATGCCTCATGTCCTGCGCTGTTAATGAGGTGGCAGATGTCTGATGGTAGCTGAGAGATTAGGGCAGTAAATGAGATTGCTTCGTGTTTCCAGACAGTGTTTGGAAGGACTTTGTATTCAGGTAATACCAGATCTGGGAAGCTTGAGATGTGTTAACATCCTGTGGTTACCTGTTAGTTTTTGGCACCTTGACAGCGTGTCAGTACAAACTGTGTTTATTCTTTTCCTCTTTTTTAGGTGGTACAGAGTGATAGTAAAAGGGATTCTTAGAAAAGGCTTTTTGTCAGTGTATGTGCTGGACTATGGTAAACATGAGGTTATCAGCATAGATAAAGTACAGCCACTCCTGGATAAATTCAGGAAGCTTCCTTTCCAGGCTATAAAAGCTCAGCTTGCAGGTATGTATTCAGCATCTTCTTTTTTTTGGGGGGGGGGATGAGCTGGGGGATGGAAGTGTGGTTATGTCTTACATCAGTGGGGGTACCAGGTATGTAGAACTGTGAAAGGGATAAAGCTGAATGCTGGAGGCATTATTTTTTGTTAAAGTAAGCATATGCATACTTGCAAAAACCTGCTCAAACAAGCTTGTCTATACCATCAACTTGGCATTAACAAAAGCCTCTGTTTTTCTTCTTTACATAAGTAAAGAAGATGGTTCAATTTTACTACTCATTTAATTCAGTGCTCTTAATTAGCATGCATAAAATCAATCATTGTTTAAACCTTCACAGCAGCTACTTTTCAGTGTCACAAATGGTTGTCATTTGATATTTATGGTGGCTCTTAGGCAGAGTACAGAGGGAAATAAAGGCCAAGTGCTGTGGGGGTCTTTAAACACCACAGGTCATGAAAGTTATGCTGTATCTGTTGGGGAAAAACTCATGTTCAGTTTATTCTGGTCTACAAAAGTGAGGGAATAGATGCAGAGTTTCTGGGTAAGATTTCTTTCACATCTTGGCCATATTTACTGTTTCCCAGTGCATATCTGGAAGCAGAAGTTGCCTGAAATTGATGTTCATCCATCAAACTTACAGTAATGTAATTGATAGAATTGGGCATAGAGAAAGTACAAATAAAATTTAAAAAAAAATTAAAACTTGGTCACTCTCTTCCTTATTTCTCCAATTTTATTTCATTTTTGCATTGCTTTCAGACATCTCTCTTCTTACTTGATGATTTCCATGTTTGCTCACCACGATTTAAACAAAGCTTGGATTACAGAATCTGCTTGCTGAAAATCATAGAATCTCAGAATGTTTTGGGTTGGGAGGGAAGTTCAAGATCAAGATGACCTATTTCCAGCCCCCTGCTATGGGCTGGAACACCTCCCACTACACCAGGTTGCTCCAAGAACCTGGCACGGTTGCTCACAGGGTTGCAAACTGACAGGGCAGCACGAAGTTCGAGCTCTGCTGCTGTGGATCTGCAGTGCGACCTTGCTTTGAACTAGCCAAGAGGTTGGACGTGTTCCCACTAGGCTGGGGTTGTAGGAGGTCAGTGTGGCAGTGAAGCTAACTTCTAGCTGTGTCTTTGTGCTGGGGTTGTACAGGTTCCTGCCAAGAGAGCCTCTAAGTCATGGGATGTTCTTGCCTCACAGCATCCCAGGCAGCTAGCTGAGCTGCCCTATTCTTTTCTTTTTTTCCATTTTTACTGTACTTGTAAGGAGTTATGTGCTTGTGATGTTCTGTCCTGTCAGCTGCTGATAAAGCAAAAGCAGTGTGTTGTCACTTTGCTGTTTTGTTTCTCATAGCCATAACTTGCTGCTTGGGAATTCATGCAGAGAGTTTGCAGCCCGTTGTGTCTGGATGCTGTGCAGCAGCAGTGACGTGAGGAGGCTGAATTCCTGCTCTGCAGGAGTCGCCTCTTGGTGAATCACAACTATATGCAAAAACCTGCTTGGATTACAGTTCCCCTAAGCAGAGCAGCCTTTGTGAGGTGCAGATTCCCTCCTGAAAAAAAAAAAAATACATAGCAGGAGTTGTGAGGCATTTCCCTTGCATTTCCCTTCAGTTCTGTCTGCAGGACTAGTTTGGGATTTGAAGGTTTGTTAGAAGATGTTGCTGCTTTAAGATGGAGAAAGTCTAAGTGAAGGCTGTTGCTTGAGCAGACTCAGTCAGAATACCAATTAGTGCTTTCTTTTGTTAGGATCTTTAGTTTCCTTTTTGTCTAGGTAACAAGCCGTGATCATCTGTGGCAGCTGCTGTTCTTGGAGTGCTCAGCGAGTTAGTGCGTTTGCCTTTCACTTCTGCAAAGCTGTCCACAGCTTTCTGCTCTGAGAGAAAATGTTAGTCTCTAATAATTGCGTGGGAGATGAGTAAGCTTGTGCTTGTGCTTTAGATTGAAGCTGCCTTCACGACTTGCATATCAATTTCCTCAAGTCTTTAAGCCCCGCCATCTCTTCATAAACTTCATCGCTCACACTGGCGTAGCCTACAAATGAGGTCCTGTCTTGCTTTGTTCCAGGAGTGAAAAGCCAGCAGTGGTCGGAAGAGGCATCGATAATATTTCGGAATCGCGTGGAGAAGAAACCCTTGGTGGCACAGATACAGGCCATCAATGAGAGCACTAATTCCTGGGACCGGAGAATAGTCACTTACTTAGTGGACACGTCTCTTCCAGACACCGACATATGGATTCATGACTTTGTGTCTCAGAGTCTTGCAGAACTTTCAGGAGCAGAATAATTGCCACTTCTGAAATGTAGCAGCTCGGTTGCTGTAGCAATAAAACAAGTAACGGATTTCAAAGAGGAATTTAACTGTTCTTGCATTGCCTTGAAGAGAATAAGGGGATAAACTTCAAAAACACGTGTTCTGTGAAAAAGATTTGCTTAACAAGTTTGCTTTCTGTTGACTTCAGTTGACTTTATGAAGTTTTGCACTTTGTTTGCTACTGCAATACTAGAATGTTTGGGTGGAAATACTAAATAAAAAGTTATTTATCAATAAAACAGTGCTGAACCGAGATTTTGTTCCTTAATGTTGGTGGGCTTCTCATCTCATAGCTGTTAAAACGTAATTCTTGCCATTACTGGGTACTCACTCTTTTTTAGTAGAATTTTTGTCGTGTGGGAAACAAGGAAGCAACCTTTTGTATTTCTGAATCTTGTGATTCAAAGCCTAAAACAGGCTTTATGGGTGAGATTTCCCCCTTCCTTAACTTCTCAGGTGATGAATAGTTGAAAATGCCAATCTAGGGGCAAGGAAGTTTCACAGGAAGTCATGGACTGCCCAACTGAAGTACTTGTTTGTTAGGAGTTTTCTGAATCCTGCTCCCTTTCCTTCAGTTCAATGCATTTCTTCTCCTCCTTTTTGATGGTTCACTTTTAATGGGAAGTGATTCTGAGAAGTTTTGAGCAGCTGCTGCTCCCAGGAAACTGGAGCAAGGAATGTCCTGCCAGCACACTGCTTACTAATCCTCTGAACACAGTATGTGTGTGTGTATGTGTGTGTATATATATATATATATATATATGTATATGTATATATTTGTCTACTTTTAAACTTGAATGGCCTTGGAAGTACTTGGGGGTGGTACAAACATCGCTGTGTTTCACAGCCTGTTGCCTAGATGCTGCCAGCATGCTGCCTGTGTGGGTAAGGGAGAATGGGCAGAAAGGGAACTGTGGCTCAGAAATGTGCAGTGCTGCATTTGTAGAAAAGGAAAGAGCCTGGGAGATGTTCAGGAGAATGAAGATGCTTTTTGAGCTTCTTTTCTTGTCCCCACTCTCAGTTGTGGCTGGTGGCTGCTCTGGAATCTAATCAGCCTTCAGAAGGGAGGACGGTGCTCATTTAGCCTCATTGCTTTAGCACAGATGAATTCTGCAGCTCTGCCTGCCAGGTTGAACCACGATCGTCTTGGCACCCAAAAACCGGGCTTGAAGGGTTCTGATAGCAATAGGTCTGACCAGAGCACGACAGGGAGAACAAAATGCCGTAATTTTTTTCTGTTTGTTCAGTAGTTGCTGTTGACAGTATTGATCTCAAAGTCATTTTGTGTCACTCCACTTTTTGCTCTCTTGCACTGCCTCTCACCTCAGGCTGGGTAAGGGATGCTGCTCCTTTCCTTGGCACTTAACACTCAGTTGTGATAAGAGCACTGGCCTGGAGCCTGATCTGTCATTTGCATTCAATCTTGCTGACATCCTTGTGCTTTGGGAACCTGCTCTTGGAGACTTCAATTGTTACACTTCTTACTTTTTCTCCTATGGGAACCAGTCTGTGGTGGAGATGAGGAACGGCACCTTCCCCTTTCCTTCTGGCCAAGCGCAGTTACTCCAGGGCACTTTGAACGCTCTAGGGATGCTCCAACCAGCATGTTCCCACTGCTTTCTCCAAAACGTGGGTTTGTAAGTGCAAGGGTATTTTAGGATGTCGCTCAGAGATGCGCCCTGAGGCAGGATGGTGGTTGTGGGCAGCCAGGTGTGTGGGAGGATAGGAGCAACTGTGGCAGCTGTTACTTCTGATGATTTTGGGATTTCACCCGTGAGCAAAAAGCCTCTGTAAGGGTAATTTACAAAGAGTCCTGAAGGCAAGAGGACTGGGGGGCCTGGCTTGAAAGGAGAGTCTTGGAGTTAGCCTGCAGAAGAGAAGGCTGAGGAAAGAACACTTAGAAAAGGATTTGGGGATGAAAAATCTTTTATAGGTAGAGAGAATCAGGCACAGAACGCCTCACGCCGCAGAGAGGTGAATTTAGGTGAGACGGTAGAGAATCCCCCTGGAGCCTAGAAATTCATTGGAATTCAAGTTTCATTGCAGGTTCTAAAAATGGGTAGGATGTATCCGCGGAAGCGGGGGCTGTCCTCTCCTCCGGACTGGAGGTGGGTGTGAGAAATCCCCGCCTTACGCCGCTGAATGCTGCTCTCCGCGCTCCGGCACTCCGCGCTGCCCTCATGGACCGTCCGCTGTGCGCGGAGCCGGAGCCCGGCGAGGCAGGAGGAGCTCCCAGCACCGCAGCTGGGTGACGGCCGGGCCGGGAGGTGGGAGATGAGCGGGGAGGAGCGGGAGGCGAAGGCGGTTCCGCAGGCTGTGCCGCGGTACGTGCGCTCCGGAGGGCTCGGAGGGTCCCGTTCCTTTCGCAGCCCGACCCGCGGGCTCCGTGCCCCGCGGAGCGGCGCGGTCTCCATCCCTCGAGGGGCCGGGAACGGCGTTGCCGTGCGTGGATAAATCCGGAATCCCCGGAGACGGACAGCCTGCGGGGACCGGCGCTGCTCCGCGTCTCCCTGGGGCGGCGGCGGTGTGCGGGCTGAGCCCGCAATGCGGGCGGTGAGACGCGGCGTGCGGCGATGCTCCGCACGGAGCGCCGCCCGGGCGGGGAGCGGGGCAGAAGCCGCGCTCCGTCCTGCGTGCAGTGCGGCGTCGGGGTTAGCGGGAGCGGGGGTCGGAGCTGAGCGTGCGGCTCCGGGATGCTGAGTTTCCCGAGGAAAGCTTGGAGTCCCAGAGCGGGAGCTGAGCGGATGGTGCTGTTTGTGACCCAGGTGTGAGGCGGCGCTTTTCGTGGGCGTTAGAACCCGAGCAATTAAGAAGCAGGCAGCGGATGCGTGACAGCCTGAGCCTAAAGGAGTCCGTGTTTGCCTGCGCTGTGTTTTCATGCACACAGCGGCTGCGAAGGGAATTCGGCAGTTTGACCCCACCACGTGTTGCCTGTTCTCCACCGCGCTGTGTTGCATTAACGGTGTGCTGATAACGAAAGCTGCATAATGAGAGCCGACGCAGAGCAGCGTGGCTTGCAGGCAGTGGGCGTGCTGGGGGGAGAAGGGCTGGGAGGCACAGGTGTGCTTTGGCAGATCGAAAATGATGCCTTCCAGATGTTGCTTTTCAAACATCTTACCAAGGAGCGCTTGAGTTTTCGTGTTGTGCCTTATGTTAACAGCTGCTGGCCATAGAGGTTTTGTCAGCCCAGAGGAAATGCAGATCTTTATGGAGAAACCTGAGTTTCTGCCATCAGCAGGATGAAGATGGACACTGTTCACTGAGCAGTAGCATCCACAACACTGTGTGCTCTGCTTTGTTGAAAACTGGGATGATTGAACTTGATGATCTTGAAGGTTGTTTCCAAACCTAAACAGTTCTGTGACGCCTGGCTACACTGCAAGCTGCACGCATGCTTCTCGACATAAGAAAGCTGCAAAGCAAGATAGGATGACAGCCTCCTGGAGGCTGGGTTACACACTGCTGCAGAAGCAAGTGGCTTAGCCAAGGTGACCTTCAACCATGACTGAGCTCTTGGTGGCTTAACAGCGTATTGCTGGGTAGGGCAGCTAAACCAGCTTGCACTGAACCAGAATCTGAGTTCAGATGTGAATCAGCAGGAAGAACTTTGCTCCAGCTGGGTAGATGAAGTGAATGTAGAAGACAGTTGTTTTATTCTTGTCAAAAGAGGGAAACATCTTGCAGCCCAGTTCCCATCCTGGCTTTTGGAGGAGGAACCTGTGCAGCTGTACGGTCCTGTGAATTCTTCTAAGATCAAATTATGGAAATGTTAGATGGGAAGGCAACTCTGGAACTTGCTCCTCTGAGCAGACCCAATGCTCAGTCAGGCTGCCCAGGGCCTTCTCCAGCTGAGCCCTGCAAACCCGAGTGGTGGTCCCACCAGCTCTGGTACCTGCCTAAGTTCTGCATCACTTTGTGGCAAGGAATTTTTCACAGATCCCCGCTTAGAGTTCCTCTTGTTCATCCCTGCTGCCCCCTGTGCTTCTCCCAGGCACCTCCCAGAGAAGCCTGGTTTTGTCTTTCCTGCAAGTTCTTTCCTTTTGGACAGCAGATGACTGCATGAGACTCCTCCGCTGCTTTCTGTCCTGATTTCAGCTGAGGCAGCACTGATTTCCTTCGCAGTGTCTGATGTGATGCTGTGTTTTAGCTCTGGGAGAAAAGCAGCGTTGGCAACACACCAGTGCTACACAGAGCCAAGGCTGTTTCAGCTTCTGGTGCTGTCCTGACAGTGAAGGGGCTGGAGGGCACAAGGAGGTGGGGGGGGGAGGACAGAGCTGGAGGACCAACCACGACACCTTCCCTCTCCAGGATGAAGATGTCTGGGTCTCTCATCTTCTCCTCATACACTCTGCTCTTCTCCGTGCTCATCCTGACGGCCCTGCTCTGTACCCCTTCAGCTCACCAAGACCTCTGTTATGCTGCGGGCATCACACTGGACGCAGAATACAGATGCAGCTCTGCTGGTGCTCACTGGAGGGGAATAACCTCTGTGGGCCTCCTGGCTGTGCAGCAGGACAGACAGCCAGAGCGGGCATGGTTCCCTGCAGGACCAGCAGGCACCCTGCTCGGGTCTGCCCAAGAAGGGATGCTGGCTCCAGGTGTGATGCTTGTACACTGCATTGCATCCCCATGACAGCACACCTGCACTTGTGTCCCTCGTGAGCAGCAGTTAGCAGCTGTCCGTGGGTTGCAGAACCAGGGAAGACCTGCTTTATGGGTGGCTGCAGTCCTTCACAAGAGCAGCGGCAGAGGTGTCGGTTGACTCTGGTTTGTGTTTCTTATGCAGTAATGATATCTCCCCGGTGTGGGCCAGGGAGAGCAGCCCTGGGTGGGAGATGAGCTGCCTGCTGGCACAGCCAGGAGTGAGGCATCATTGCCCAGCCCCAGGTGCTGAGTGTCAGGAATGTGGGGACTGCAGCCGTGCCAGGGGAGGCCGAGCATCCGAGCAGATGACGGCTCTAAATTTAAGGGCTTGCCGTCGAGCTGCGTACGTGTTAATGTGCCCTTTTGTGGCCAAGCTAAAGATAATTCTCCTATCTGGAACAACAGCTGCCCTACGAGTTGTGTAGAGAAACCGCCCTGCTAAGGAAAACTTGCTTTAAATAAGTTCAGTATCTTCTGCAGGTCTGAGTCAGAAAGTGGCCAGGGGGCTCCATAGGGAGCACTGCCACTGCCCAAAGGGTGGGTGCTGGTGTGCAGCTGTGCAGCGTTCCCACAGAGCTGGCTCAGACTGTGAGTCCGCAGGACGAGGTG